AATCAATTACCATAAAGAATTTACTTCCAGTTGGGATAGATGATAGTAGCATATGAGCGTTAGAAACAAGATGTCGAGGGATAACAATATGGTTTATTGCTCATAGGTCCTGGACAAACCTCCATACTCGTCCCTTTGATGACGGACAGCTCAACAGGGTGGTAGTCCAAAGAGGGACCATGACACCACCCCAGAGCCCTAGTGACCATGTTCTTGTTTTATGTCCCAAGAAAGAATTCAAAGACATGACAAACAGCAAGCTGGAATGTACAAGTTTTACCAGAGTGAAAGCACACACTTAAAAATGCTCCAGCTCAGAGAGAGAGTCTGCCTCAAGCTGTCTTAATTACAGGGTTTTGTTTTTTTAGAGGTGGGGTGTCCCAAAGCTATCTATCCTGCCTCCTGGTCTTGGCTTGTTTCTCCTGCCACCTGAAGAGGAGGAGGTGGCCCAAGGCCATCTCTCTAGTCTCCTGGCCTTTGCTTATTTCTCATACTGGAGTCTCAGGGCTTGAAATCAAAACAAGGGGAGGGCTGGGGGACAAGAGAAATTCCAGAGCAGCTAGAGGGAGAGGGCTGAGTAAAGGACTAAAGAAAAATACCAGAGTCATATCCTGGAGGCAAGGGATTTCCCTAGGCTAACTATCTTGCCTCATCTTTGGCTTTCTCACAGGTAATATAGGAGTGTAATGGAGACTTGTGCAAGGAATAATAAGGCCCTGAGTAATCTTCCATTATGGGCTTTATACCTTGAAGGGCTTCTTTACTTACAGGATATTAATTGTGGGAAGAAGTTTTGAAAGATCAATTTGAATCTTAATAGGAGGTACACTGTAGATTCTGCCCGTATCAGTTGAAGATTTTGCCCATAAAGATGGCAATTGGTCCAAAAGGGACAATTGACCAGGGCTCTCAGATTCAGCTACTGTACCATCAAAAACAGAACAAATAAAAGATGTTGAAAGGCCATTTAATTCATTTCATTGGTCATTCTGACAGTTACCATCAAACCCTAACATTATTTCTCCCTTTTGGGAAAAGAAATGCCCACTATTTGAACTGTCTTACTGCTCAGAGGCAGGGGTTGTTTTATGACAGTGGGGTTGAACACTGAGAATGTCGTACCAGTGTCAATAAGAATAGAAATAGTTAACTTACCAATTTGAAGAGAAGTTTCTCCGAGTTGATTAAGAGGAAGGATTGGGAAAAGCCCTTGTAGTTCCTCAGAGCCCCATCACTGGGGATTAGGAGGACCTTGAAAGGGCTGGTTAGAAGGCTGAGAACCTCTAAAACACTTAAATTTATGGCAATCCCTTTCCAGTGTCCTGGCTCTTTGCAATGACAGCAAAGTTTGGAGTCTCTCTGTTTCACATAGGGCCTCTCATTTGCCAAGGCTGAAAATGAAGAAATCTTGGCAATCTTAATTCTAGGTAGCTCATCTAGAGTACAGGCAAGCTGATTGGCCAAATTAACCAAATCTAGGGTGGCCATAGTCTCCCATTCCATCCTTGTTCTCTTAAACAAGAGGGAAAGATCTCTGTTCAGTCCATTAACAAAGAAAAGTTACTCAAGTGGAGTCAACATATGAAGACCAGAATTTTCCTTAAGAATGACCTGAAGTCTACTATAATAGTCATGAACAGATTTATCGGACTTTTGTGAGCAAGTCTGAATTTTGCTTCCAACAACAGGCTGCGGGAAAATCTTAGGAATTGCATGTTGTAGTTTTCTAGCAAGTTTTCTAGTTTCTTCTCAAAAATTAGAGGTTTGCTTTTCTAAGTCCCTTTCAGGATGTTCCCATCTGGCAATTCCCATCCAGTGTCAAGCCTGACCTTCACCAACTAATATATGAATTAGCCAAATAAAATCAGAAAACCCAGGCTGATAGGCCTGAACAATATCAAATTCCTCAGCAAACCTGTGAGGATCCTGTTACCTTAGGGAATTCCTTTACAATGGCTCGTAATACAGCTTTAGTCCGGGGGACATATGAAAATTGGAGTCTGTTAGGATCCCTAGAGGGTTTAATTTTAAATTGGAAAGTACCGATAAGTTTAGAGAAAGAAACAGGAGAGAATTCAAGGGAAAATGGCACTGGAGGCAGAAGTAGAAGGCAAGACGGCATCGAAGGTGGAGAGTGAGGCAGAGTTGGGGAAGCAGCGCTTGCTCAGTGCTACGGAAGAACTCATGGCTTCAGACACCGTATTCTCTCTTTTTACATTTCCAGTAGACTCTGTTAATTTTAAGACTTTACTCCTAAAAGAGGCGACTTCAAATTCTTGGTCTCATTTGGAAGCCTCAAAACCTCAGTCAAAATAGGCATTCTGAAGCTGGAAAGTGCCTGTGCCCTTCGGCCAATAGACGGACACAGGAGTTGGGATACTTAAGCATTTATTATCTTATCAGAGCACGGGTGATCTGAGAAGGTAGCAGGCTAACACCTTCAAAAACTGCCTTCTCAGTTCTACTTAGGATATTTAAGGCATTATTCCAGGGGCTATGTGATGGTTGCAAGGGGGTGGGGGAGGAGGAGGGTTCTGTTGTGCTGGGGCCGTTCCTCTGGCAACGTAGTCCTACGCTGGCATTAGCAACCCAGAGACAAAGATGGAAGTAGTCTGGAAAGAATGCTAGACGAGAAGGATCAGTAAACGTAGGGCATTAATCATAAGTTTCAGGGCTACTTTCCACGGTGGGATATTCCAAGATCTGGGTCAAGCTGCTGGCGACAATCGTTAAGCTATAAGGCAAGGAAAAGGGAAGCAACAGACACTGTGAGGCTTCTACTACTGGGATCTCAACCAGGCCCTTCTACAATTCCGCTGTTTTACCAATTTTAGTGCTATTATTGTCCAATTAAGTTTTAAGAAAATTAAGTTTGGGAATCTCAAGTTCCCCAGAGTAGCCACTAATTTTCTAAATTACTTTTAGTCAGATATGTCCATTTAGTTAAATATGAGCATGAAAACTGCCCACATTTTTAACCTGTATTTGGTATCTTTGGGGGAGGAGGGACGGTCTTAAAATATTTAGATAGCTGAGATCCCATTTTTCAAAGACTTTTCTCTAGAACAAAGGACCCAAGACAATTTACAACAGCTTGAACAACATGCAGGTCGGACACCAGCCAGCCTGAACAGTCTGATCACAGAGGACCAGGTTGGAGACAAGAAGCCAGTTCTAGGAAAATAACTAACCCTTGGGGAGTCCAGATATAGGCTAAGCTGGATGGCACTCTTCTCTTTAAGACAGAACAGACTGGGTCAAACTGACTCATTTCAGTAGAAATAACCACTGTTCCCAAAGAGATCTTTAGGCAAAAGCCAGTTTAGTCTCAAAGGACAACCTGTTTCCAAAGAAATCAGGCCAACATGCCAAAATGAGCACTCACAGAGAACAGATAAACAGGCCTTCTCAACACATGTGCATGCAAACACACACACACAACCTCTAAAGGAATCCTGAATAAAGTCCAGAGAACTTCAAAACACACAAAGTGAAAGCTCAATTGCAGAAGACACCCTAAGCTTCCAAATCGGAGAGCAAGCAAAGAGCCCAAGTGGCTCTATATCAGTAGCCAGAATCTGGTTGCTCATCTGCCCTGAAGCTGTCGAGGTTCTTCTCTGGATCCCAGATGAACTCCTAAAATGTTGACTAAAAAATATTGACTACGTGCTCTGTTACCAAAAGGACTTATTCAGGATAAAGGGTCATATTCCAGAACATGTAGACAGGGCAAGCCACATGCACACTCTGTCCTGCCTGCCAAGTTGGAGGGGTATTTTTTATGATGGATAAGGAAGTTAATGGAAGACAAGTTAGAACCCTAGAGCTTTATTATAGAGTTCTTCCTGTAGGGTCTTGCAATTACACACAGTGCAGGAACTTCCATAAACCCTAGCTCCTCCCACAGACACTCTCCACTGATGGTTTGCTTAAAGTTTCAGTTCACTTTTACCAAAATTGAGCACACATCTCCTAATAACAAGGCATTCTTGTAAATAGCCATCGCCACACTGAAGCACTTAATGAGCCAATTATATACTCTAATATATATTCCACATACAAAGTTCTCCAATTGTCCCCTGAATCTCTTTCATAGTTTCTTTCATTCAACTTGGTGTAGGATCAAACATCTGGAGTGACTCCCTAGCATTCCTGTTTTTCTTGATATTGACTTTTTGAAGAGTCTGATGGAGCTGTTTTGCAGAACGTCTGTCTCTCAAGCTGTATTTGTCTGATCCCCCTCCCCCCCCATAACTAGATTCATTTAAAACATTTTTGGCAAATACACAACAGTGATGTAAAAACCCATTTTTGACATTCAGCATGCTAATGAGCAAGGCTTCAGAGCAGAATTGAGATACTTCTAGCAGGACTGCTAGTTGTCTGCTGGGGAGTGTGTCCCTTTCTGACATAGGGCTGTCTGAGCTTCTGGTCCTTGATATCTCCAGTGACCATCATTAGAGGCAACATTTAAGTCAAAGAGTTCTTGGGGATGGGGGTGGGGACACATTTGGCTTTGTCTGGACACATTTTTGTTTTTGGTACTGTTGGAGAGTAGGAAGAGGGCAGTGATACTGTATAACATCCTTCTTGAAAAAGAATTATCTGGCCCCAAATGTCAATAGTGGGGAGGTGGGAAAACCCAGGGTGCCACTGACCATTTCAACCAGCTGACTCCTTGGCATCATTCTTCCTCCTTCCTGAAATGCTCTACTATCCTCTGCACCATCAACATTAAACATACATACGAAAATAATTTCACAGTACTTCCTGTTAAGTACTGTGATTCACTTTTATACACCTGTATCTATATTGGCTCTCTAGTTGGCCTGTGAACTTCCTCCGCCTACCAATTCGTTATCTGAGAAGAGCACTTCAATAGTTTGAGCAGGCACGGACCAACCTTATGTGGAAAAAAAGGTGCCAGTGAAATCTCAAAGAGAATTGCTAACAAGTGTGCTGCAGATTAGAGTGTACAGAGTGCTTTCCAATGAATCTTGTCATCTAACCGAACAACACTTGGGGACGTGGTTTATTACGAGGTGACTGCTTTCGCACTTGAGGAACCGGTTAGTAGGGCATGGGAGAGAGAACGCCGGGCTGTGGTGCGGTGGGGATCTAATAGGGAGAGCCTAGGACGCGAGGGTAAAGGGACAGAGTGGGGGAAGGGAGAGCACCGGGCAGGGGTTGGGGAGATTGCGGTTCAGATTCGGTATTCGGCCTCTAGGTCCCACACTTAACACGGCAGGAAGCAATACTGTTTCTTCCTCTTCTCTCTCCTCCTGCAAATATCCACCGTAACGCTCAAATGGAGTCCTGGCGAAATAAAGTCAAACAAGTTCATGAGCGGTGGTGGGCATGCTGGCTCCAGATCTCAGGAGACCCGGGCGAGTTCTGAGGTTTGCGGTGGGGGCGGGCACCGGAGGAAGGTCAGGTCTTAGGTCTCCGCCCCACCCCCACCACCAGGTAGGGCAAGTGAACAGTTGAGGCCCGAGTCTGGGCGGCAGTGCGTGGGGCGGCGGCAGGGTCCGCGTGGGAAGAGGAACAGCAGTAGAGACCACCGCTCAGCACGCAGACGTCTTTGCCACCGTGTCCGGCCTCTTCTGCCCGGCGGCGTGAGCGCCGCAGGACGACTTACTGGTTCAATCGAAGGACAAGGAGGGCTGATCATTCCGTTAAAGGCCTTGCACTGCGAGAAAACGAAACTTCCCTTGAGGTCTGACTTCCGGCGCCAACCGTGCGCACACAGGCTACCGGGGAACCGCGCACCGAAAACCTGCCCCTTCCGGCACGCACCTGGAGCCCCGCAGCCCCGCCCGCCTGCCTCACTGCCTAGCTTCGCCTACAGGTGAGAGAGGCTCCAGGT